TTTTTTTTAATTATTATTATTATTATTATCGTTTTTTTTTTTTTACAGTCTTTGCACCAGGCTTTAAATGAGCAAGCATCACATGTCAGTCAGCTTACCTCCACACTGGACCAGGAGTGTATCACATCCAGTAACCTGCGCTCTGAGCTCCAGATCGAGCAGTCTCGTTGTGAGGCCCTGTTGGCCCAGGAACGTGAACGCACTGAACATGCGCTTTCCCGCCTTGAGGTGGAACGCTCTCGATCAGCAGAGCTCTCAGATTCTCTCTCTCGCCAAGCCCAGGAGCATGTGCGCCGTTTAGAGGAGGAAGCTCGGAGACAGGAAGCAGCCAGTGCCCACGACAGAAAGTTTATACAGGACCTACGGGCGCAACTGGAACAGGAGAGGCGTCAGGGAGAGGACCTGGCAGCCATGTTGGAACGTCTGCAAGGGCAGGTGCTGGAAGGGAAGCGCAGGCAAGCGGAGCAGGCAGAGCAGGAGGCACACAAGGAGCAGGAGGAAGTGAGGAGGCTCCATGCTGCTCTGGAAGGCCTGCAGACTCAGAAAACAGAGGTCGGACACACTTTAGAGGCGGAGCGAGAAAGAGCTGCTCAGTTACAAACAGAGTTGGATGTGATGAAAGAAAAAATTAGAGTGGTGAAAGAGAGGGAGAGAGTGAGGGAGGAGCAGATGGAGAGGCAGAGGAGACAGGAGAAACAGGAGCAGGTGGAAAAGGAGCGACGACAGGAACGCACCAATGAGAAACTGGTGAGGAAAAAGAGATAGTTCACCCAAAAATGTCAGTTCTGTTAAAATGTACTTACACTTGTTGTTCCAAACCAATAAGACCCAAAAACTTAAATTAAATCAGTTCATCATAAAGCGATCATATCTCTTCACAAGATGTGTAACTTGGGATTCAACTGCTTGATTCATATTAATTATTTTTACATCACCTTGTTTTTGTTTTGGTTAGCTTGACTTTCAGTGAATGGGCAGAAACCACTCAGGTTTAATTCAAGATATCTTAAAGGGATATTTCACCCAAAAATGAAAATTCGGTCAGTAACTCACCCTCATGTCGTTCCAAACTCGTAAGACCTTCATTCATCTTCAGAACACAAATTAAGATATTTTTGATGAAATCCGAGAGCTTTCTGACCCTCCATAGACAGCAATGTGACTGAAATGTTCCCAGACCCAGAAACGATATTATCAAAAGATGTTCGTCAAAATTATCTTCATTTCTTATTTCATATTTGGGAGAACTATCCCTTTAATTTGTGTTTTGAAGACTAACCAGTTTTATGGGTTTGGAACAGTTGATGGTTAGTAACAACATTTTTAATTTTTGAGTGAACTAACCCTTTAATTTGATATGTACATGATCATCATAGTTTGCTGTCATTGTTTAAGAGCACTGAAGTTATTTGATTAATTGTCTCAGTTGGAGTTGGAAGTGTTGCGTGAGAAGGATCAGCAGCGGTTGAGGCAGCTGCAGCAGACGTTGGCTGACCTGGAGCACAAAGAGAAAAGGCTCACATCAGAACGCCTGCAGAGAGAGAGACAGTCCAATGGCCTGACCTTAGGCCAGAATGCACTCACAAACATCTCTCAGGTAACGTTCTCCAGCCCTACGTTTTGTATCAGCATGTCTGTCTTGTACTCTTAAATTACAAACCCAAGCCTAACCCAAAAACGCACTCAGCTGTTTTTGTTTTGCAAGCCAATTTTAAGTTTATTTATTATTTATCACACAGATATTTAACAATCACACTTGGCATATATGAACAATAATTTAATGCTGACAAGTCTATATTTGATGTAACCAGACCAGCTGACCATATTCCCAATATACCCAGTCCTACTTATTCTCACAAGCTTTCACTCAGACGAAAGTGTTTGTACAGATACAAAATGAATTGTATGACATTTAAAATGAAGGCGAAATAGGTTTTGTTGTACTTTCTTAGTACAGAATGCATAAAAGCAAGTGCTAAAGGCATACTTCACCCAAAAGTAAAAATTGGTGTAATTTACTCACCATCTTGTCATTACAAAACTGTATGACTGACTGACTTATGTGGAACACAAGATATTTTAAAGAATGCTGGTAACTAAATAGTTTCAGTGCTCAAGGAAATCAGTTGTATATTTTTATCCATTGTAGTGGAAGTTAATGGGAACCAAAACTGTTGAAACCAATGCAAATTATTGCCTCAAATTTGATCCGATTTTCACGTGACTTGTCTGTTCAGACCATTATGGGGGAAAAAAATGGCAGACACATTGAACGGAAATGAGAATTCACTCTCTGACAGTAGGTGGTGCAGAAATACCCTGGTTATCCTTGAGCACAAAGGGAAGAAAAGGATCGTTTATGGCCATATTGTGCAACCCTATAACCCTATATCAGATTTTTTTAAATTGCAATTATCAGGAATCACAATCCCGCAAATTAATTTTGATCGTATATTGTGATGTATTTGTAATATATTTGATCATCTGCTAAATAGGATTCTACCTCATCCACTAACTCTCTAATGGAACGTTTGCTGAAGGAGAATGCAGATTTCTCTCAGTGTCTCGCTGCTCTGAGTGAGGAGAAGATCTCCCTCAAACACACTATATCCTGTTTGGAGAGAGACCTGCAAAGCCTGAAACACCAGGAGCAGGTGATATTATTAACAATTAGTTTCTTCTTTTTAATTAACCTCCTTTTTTGAAAGGCAGACCTTTTTTAACATCAATCAAGACATTATGCAACCAATGAATTCACCTACTGAAAAATGTTTGCATGATGTGTGAAGGCTGAAAGTTGCAGATAAATACAGTTCTTCATCTGTTTTAATGTTCAGTTCGTGTGTATTTTGGTTCCAGGTGTGATACTTCATATAGATTTGGTTGTGCATGTCTCTCTGTCCGTCAGGTGAAATCTCCTGCTGTTACGGAGCAGTGTATGTTATCGGAGAAGCTGGCCTGGCAGAAGGAAAAAGCAGCTCTTCAGGCTGCGCTGCGTAAAGCAGAGGCTGAACTCTCAAAAGTCACAGCTAGCAATGAAAACAGACCCACCTATGACCTCTCTAATAACAGGGTAATTTGGATTAATGAATTAAATGTATAATCCGTTCCTTTATTTAAATTGTTTAATTTTTAAGTTTATTTATTATTTATCACACAGATATTTAACAATCACACTTGGCATATATGAACAATAATTTAATGCTGACAAGTCTATATTTGATGTAACCAGACCAGCTGACCATATTCCCAATATACCCAGTCCTACTTATTCTCACAAGCTTTCACTCAGACGAAAGTGTTTGGTGTATTGGTGTAATTTACTCACCATCTTGTCATTACAAAACTGTATGACTGACTGACTTATGTGGAACACAAGATATTTTAAAGAATGCTGGTAACTAAATAGTTTCAGTGCTCAAGGAAATCAGTTGTATATTTTTATCCATTGTAGTGGAAGTTAATGGGAACCAAAACTGTTGAAACCAATGCAAATTATTGCCTCAAATTTGATCCGATTTTCACGTGACTTGTCTGTTCAGACCATTATGGGGGAAAAAAATGGCAGACACATTGAATGGAAATGAGAATTCACTCTCTGACAGTAGGTGGTGCAGAAATACCCTGGTTATCCTTGAGCACAAAGGGAAGAAAAGGATCGTTTATGGCCATATTGTGCAACCCTATATCAGATTTTTTTAAATTGCAATTATCAGGAATCACAATCCCGCAAATTAATTTTGATCGTATATTGTGATGTATTTGTAATATATTTGATCATCTGCTAAATAGGATTCTACCTCATCCACTAACTCTCTAATGGAACGTTTCGGAAATGAGAATTCACTCTCTGACAGTAGGTGGTGCAGAAATACCCTGGTTATCCTTGAGCACAAAGGGAAGAAAAGGATCGTTTATGGCCATATTGTGCAACCCTATAACCCTATATCAGATTTTTTTAAATTGCAATTATCAGGAATCACAATCCCGCAAATTAATTTTGATCGTATATTGTGATGTATTTGTAATATATTTGATCATCTGCTAAATAGGATTCTACCTCATCCACTAACTCTCTAATGGAACGTTTGCTGAAGGAGAACGCAGATTTCTCTCAGTGTCTCGCTGCTCTGAGTGAGGAGAAGATCTCCCTCAAACACACTATATCCTGTTTGGAGAGAGACCTGCAAAGCCTGAAACACCAGGAGCAGGTGATATTATTAACAATTAGTTTCTTCTTTTTAATTAACCTCCTTTTTTGAAAGGCAGACCTTTTTTAACATCAATCAAGACATTATGCAACCAATGAATTCACCTACTGAAAAATGTTTGCATGATGTGTGAAGGCTGAAAGTTGCAGATAAATACAGTTCTTCATCTGTTTTAATGTTCAGTTCGTGTGTATTTTGGTTCCAGGTGTGATACTTCATATAGATTTGGTTGTGCATGTCTCTCTGTCCGTCAGGTGAAATCTCCTGCTGTTACGGAGCAGTGTATGTTATCGGAGAAGCTGGCCTGGCAGAAGGAAAAAGCAGCTCTTCAGGCTGCGCTGCGTAAAGCAGAGGCTGAACTCTCAAAAGTCACAGCTAGCAATGAAAACAGACCCACCTATGACCTCTCTAATAACAGGGTAATTTGGATTAATGAATTAAATGTATAATCCGTTCCTTTATTTAAATTGTTTAATGTAGTGTTTGGTTTTTGACCATAAATATGTACTTGAAGTAACCTTCTGATATTTTAGCTTATTTGAATAATTTAACAACACATTCACAGTTCTTTGATGTTGGTTAATGTCAGATTGAGTTTTTTTTTTTTTGGTATTTATTTTTATAATTTAAAAGTACATTTTAAGTGTGTTTGAAGTGCTTGCTTTATGAACCTGTTCCTGTAGGTGCAGCGGCTCTATGAGAGATACCTGCGAGCAGAGAGTTACAGGAAGTCGCTGGTGTATCAGAAGCGTTATCTGCTGTTGCTGCTGGGAGGGTTTCAAGAGTGCGAACAGGCTACTCTTGTGCTAATCGCTCGTATGGGTGCGCAGCCGACGTTGAGCCAATCACAGGCCTCTAGACCTCTAAACCGCTTCAGAACATCTGTCAGAGTAGTCATCGCTATCTCAAGGTAAAAAGAATGGCTACGTAGATGTGTCTGGCAAAGTTAGTATGGAGTTTGGAGACCGCTTGCTTGTGACTGTTTCAAGTTTATAAATGTTTAAATTTGTATTTAAAACTGAGTTTTAAATGTACATTTATTCCATTTTTGCCTTATTCCAGTTTTGCCGTGGTTTATTGGGTGGTTACTGAGTTTCCTGACCCCCTTTTTTTCTTTTCTTTTCTTTTTTTAGACTGAAGTTCCTCACTAGGAAATGGCAAAGAGCTACAAGGAAAATCTCAGTAGGCAGTGCTACAGTTAACGGGCATGGAACAGGACCAAGCACAGGTAAGAGTGGTAAGTTGTTCAGCTTGCAGACTTGATTTGGTAGTTCTGCAGGTGATTTAAATCATAAGTAATTTATGTACCGTTTTCCCTTCTCTCTTAGTTCCTGCCTTGAGGACTGAAGTGCTGAGGCCACAGCAGACTGGAGTTGCATTCAACTCTCCACCCACACATGATCAAGCCTTTGCGCAAAGGGGTGTGGTCTCGTCTCTGGTGTCGCCAATCAAATCACCCTTTAGACTGAATCATAGGTGAAATATTTCTTACTATACAAACAGGTGTATGTAGTGTGGATCTAGGTTGGTTTTCCCTTTTAGTGTTTTTAATTCAAATGACAAATGTCGGATTCATTAACTTTCACTCTTTTCTTTCTTACTCAAAGAACGTACACAACTCCGGTGCTGGGACCTGCTGAACGCTCCTTCAGCTCTTCCCAAGATCAAGAACGTTCCCTTACGGAGTATATCCAACATTTGGAGACTGTCCAGCAGCGACTTGGAGCCGGTCGTCCAGGTAGGAGGAGGCCAGTGGGAAATGACCTAAAATTACTCTCATCTTTTACATAGAAACCACTTCAATCTGAGTGGTTCAAATTGAGACAATAGCTTCGTTCAACAAATTTTGTTTAAAAAAAAAAAAAAGCTCATGCGTTTTTGATATGCCTGATATTAAAAGAGCCTCAAGTAGCATAACAGTAACGTTAGCTAGATAATACTACGTGATATGATATGTTTGTGGAGGATGTTAGCGTTATGATGGTCCATGTGACATCAAATTTTCCTCAAGTTGCTTTTTGGCCATTTGGAAATCAGGAAGGAAGTGTAAAAAAATATATATTTTAAAAAGAATATATGGCCGTCAAGAACTTTTGCACGAAACATAATGCGACGACATCTGCGCATGCGCAGAAATTTTGTAAACGAGTACGTTATGTGAATCGGCCTGCAAAGTTCCGAGTATATAAAATATATTTTCATGTTCTGGTGTCGGTCTGGATTCATTCATTCGGATGGAAGAATAACCAGCGTGCTTGCTTACTGTAACAGTTCAGCTCCGGTTTCAGCGTTTAATGTTGTTCATACCTCAATTTTCGCGAGTCCACTTGAGGCATTATAGTATGGTATGTCTGTATATACTGGGTGTATATATATATGTTGTTGATTACGCATGGTTGGGAAGCACGTGAAGACAGGGTGCGCTATATTATTACATAGGGCCCGGATAGCTCAGTCGGTAGAGCATCAGACTTTTAATCTGAGGGTCCAGGGTTCAAGTCCCTGTTCGGGCGGTTCGTTTTTCTTAACTTTTACTAACGAAGAATATGCGTGGAGTACAGTACAGGTCTGCGCGGGAGGTCCCGCAAGGTTCAATTCCGCACCCACCCGCTCCCGCTATATATTCACTCTTTGTTCACCTGCTGTCCGCTTAGAATACTTTTCTTCCCGACAAATTTAGATCTCGTTTCCAGAATCTCACATTTAACTTTCCGCTACTGAAAGAAAGCGAGATAGGCTGACAAATAAAAGTGTATGGAGGACGAAACCTGCAAAAACAATAAATAAATACACAAAGAAATAAATGTGTGCATAAATACACGTATTCTTGTTTGATTACATAAATAAATAATTATACATGTGATGGGGGGGGGGATGTGGAACTACATTCAGAAATAAATGACTGATCAAAGGAAAATAAATAGGATGTTTAGCATTTCCTTAATCATTTTCCATTTGTCCACTAATTTATTTTATTTGCCTACTTTAATCACATGTTTAATTATTTGTATATGTATTTAAACAAGAATTTGTGTATTTATACAGACATTTATTTATTTATTTGCATATTTATTTATTTATTGTTTTTGCAGGTTTCGTCCTCCATATAGGCCTACCGGTGGTCAATAAGAATAAAGCGCAGATATGCTGTTCTAAATGGACGTCGGGAACGGGATATTGTTAGACCGCCCGCTCCCGTTCAAATTACACCCGAGTTACCGACCGCTACCGTGTTTTATTCGGGAATTTACAAAATGCAGACCTCTACACTACAGTATATATGGTTTAATTAAATAGTGGGTTGATTTTCAACCCTTTAATTCAGGAATCATTAAAACATGAATATAAAATCATATAAATATAAAATCCCCTTTAAAAAAAATCTAAATATATATTTTTAATAACTGTACACAAGCTATTAAATATATTTTATTGATGAATTTAACCTGTACAAAATGTAAATATACAACACAGTCTAGAAAACAAAACAAAAACAATGGAAAATGCACAGCTGCAGTTGATAGATTAGTTAAGGTCAGAGAAGCATTTTACAGGCCAATTATTACAAACACATACCAGTATAAAGGTCAAGGGTCATGCACAATTTGCACCTTGAACATTCTCTAAACACAATGTATGCGAGCAGTGCGAGATATGAGAAATGGTGTCAGTTTTTTTTATGCAGTGATGTTCTATGAATGAAATCCAAAATATTTGCAGTCACACGCAAACTACACAAAGGTTTGTTTATTCCCTTTAGCAGTTATGGGTTTGAGGATGAAAGGTGCAGAAGGCTGCAATCACCCAAGTGTCATGCACTTTCTGTGAAACTTCAGTGCCAAAAACAAGCCGGTCCTGAGATATCTGAAACATATAATGCTATACACAACTCCCTCATTCTCACGAATCATGTTTTATTCACCTGAGCTTTTCTAACCTTTTCTAACTGAAAAAATCCTGGGGTTTTATCCTATAGCCAGAAATATACAACTTCTTTAAAAACTGCATGTTAATAAAAACAAGTGCGATTTGTCCACTGCCTTGGAGTCATCCTTTGGATCTGAAAAATTATAAAGTGCATTCTCACTTGATATTGTGCAAAAAAAATTAAAAAATTAAAAAGCATGCATCATTTTTATAGTGCCAGACTTGAATGATCTTCAGTGGTTTTCCCCCCTCACAGAAATCTGGGATTGGCAATAAAATCTAAGTTTGCAAAGCTTAAAGTTCATAATGGCACATTGCATATTATAAATATTTCTTCCTCCTATCAAAATTATTCAAAGCAGCTCAAAATTTCTAAGCACATATTTCCTACATCAACACCAACCTTTACTTTTTGACAAGAACGGAAATGTCGAGGTCAACTGAATGCAATCCCATTTGGCCGTTTACTCAAAGGACTTCTGTCAACTGCTTTGTCCAGCTGGCAAATAGACTTTCCTATACACAATGAAATACTTCACAGAACTTCTCTCAAGTGGATCAATATGTGAGAACTATGAATAATTGAGTATTTTGATAATGTTGTTCATTCTATCATTCCCACAGAAGCTCAAACCATTACAATGCATCTGGAAATTTGATACGATGCCACTCTGTGACATACAGTAAATAAGCTCAGACTTGTGTTTTGTCCAAGAGTAAATAAATATGACTTTTTTTTTAATCAGTGTCCAAAAGTAAATGGATGCTGTGAGTCTCTCGAGTACTTCATCTACGATACACCTGTTAAGTCACCTAAAAAAAAAAAAGACGAGAACACAGAAACGAATATTAGGAATCCAGCACATATCAATGCTGCTTCATATTTACCGCTTTCCTGTTATACCTTATGGATGTGTGGTGGTAGCTCGTCCTCAGACCCCTCCTCGGGCACTGGGTCGTGATGTCTGCTCATTTGGTTCTCCTCAGACCAGCCACCCATAGGCATACGAGGCGTTCTCTGAGCTCGGAAGCTTCCAGAAACAGGATCTGCAGGAGACCGTTTGTCGCCCATGTAAAGACTACGTTGTGGCACTTTTCATTCTTAGATATTACTACAAACAGTCGTTTGTAGTACCTGAGGTTCCGCTATAGCGCCGCTGGCTGCCGCTCTGCTGTGCTGCCCCCGCCTGGTGTGAGGTGGTTGGGAAAGTGCTGGAACGGGGGAAGGTGCGGGCGGCTTCCATGTCCTCATTGACACTCTCACTGCTCTCGTCACTCTCCTGTCTGTGCCAGGTGTGTCGAGACACCTCACCTCGCGACTGCTGCTTGTGCATCTAGTCACACATTAGATATAGTTACTAATATTCAGGTGCAAACTAGAGACTGACCTCTTTCAACACATCATTGGTTAAAAGGCTGATTTGGACCAGATAATGAATGAAAAGCAGCTAAGATGCCCAGCATTTGTGGGAAGTATAATGATCATGGCAGTCTCACACATTCTTAAATCAGTCCCATACATGTGCATTCACTGATTCCATAATTGTGTAATAAAGCATTGCTTATATCAACAGTTCATGTGTTGCTTTACCTCATGCATGTAGAGGGCATGAATGCTCATCTCTGTGGAAGCATATTCTGATAGGACCATACTGGTCAGCTGGCCTTCCCAGGCGCTACTGCCAGAGCTGATGGTACGGGCATCAGTGCTGGATGAGGACGATCCAAGAAAAAAAGAACAAATGAATGATATGAAATAGTTTGGCAGGGACATTTTAAAATCAGTCTATCTGTAAAGATGCAAAGACACCTATATTAGTTCAAAAGTTTGGAGTTTATAGTTTTTGGAAAAAGAGGTCTCAATGAGGCTGCTTTATTTGATATAAAAAAAGTATAGTAAAAATAGTAATATTGTGAAATATATATTTTTACAACATATTCTATTTTACTAGTTTTAATGTAATTTATTTCTGTGATTTCACGTTTTTTTGTAACAACTGCATGATTAATTTAATGCACCTTGCTGAAGAAAAGTAATAATTTCTTTAAAGAAAATATTTCTGACCCCAAACTTTTGAACAGCAGTGTAAATTTAGTTAAAATTGCTATTTTAATAAGAAATCATGTGATTCTAAATAAAGTCTTAATAAGAAATCTATGAAATGTAAATGTTAACAGGTCTCGTTCACAACTAACTGTACACATTGTGTATTTATTCAACATTTATACAAGTGTTTTTTTTTTTACTTTGTTTTTAATGTTTAAAGGGTTGTGAACCCAGATGAATCACAATGAGAATGCCCAAAGCTACTCAATATAAGGCATTTCTGTGAATTCTAGTGTCGAGCTCAAAATCAACATCTTTTACTTAAGACACTTAGAATACACAAGAGAAAATTATAGAATTATTATTACAATTTATGAAACTCTATAAAAAATAACAATACAATACGTTAATTTGTGTTCAGTCATTACCCTGAGCCTGCCATTGCTCTCCCAGCCACCACAGCTGGATGGTCAGGTCGTGGCAGTCTGGCAGATGGGTAGCTGCCCCGCAGGTGTAGACTCGTGCTGACAGGAGAGAGGGATCGGAGGGGCCTACGGGGGAGTGAGTGAGGTTACCTGTGTCCTAACTTGGAGCCCTCTCGACCCAGATGCAGTGAGGCCAGGGAAGGGGGTCCCATCAGGAAATTTGCAATAAGACTGCGAGGCTGAAATGAAACAACACCCAAAATCAGACCTCTTTTTAAAAAGAACTTAGTTCTCTTTGTAATCATATTGTATATAATCTTAAAAGCGGGTTTTGGATCACTTTTCATAAACCTCTTTTAGAACCCAGTCTAAAACCTAAAATAATTATGATTATTATTATTCCTATTATTGATCTTATTGGCCATTAGAAATATATTATTATATGTAATGATCTGGATGGATGTCGGCAGCTCAGTCATTTGGATACCTCTGAATCAGACTGTAGTGAATGGGTTGAGGTAAATGCAGGATTCTCTGCTATGATTCCCTGCTGTCCTGTGGCGGCCTCGCGGTGCACCTTCTCTTTCAGAAGGCTGATGAAATGCGTGCTCTCCCGAGGGGGCTGCCAGTGTGGATTTGTGATAGCAAAGTGCATGAGTGACAGTTCAGTCTTCCCGTCTTCTGCCTGCTGATAGATGGAGGCCTCTGTTTTCCCAGCAGACATCCACTATAGTGGACCACAAAAGGGCATCATAGTCAACAAATAAAGAGAGAACTAGGTAGATACATCGACAAAAAAGCACAATAGTGAAAATAATTTGGGGGAAAAAAGGTCTGTGCCCTTACTGCAGGATGACCATGTTGACGGACATCCATCTGTGCAAAAGAGCAAGTATCGCCCACACCGACCACGTCCACAGTAAAGTTTCGGAAAAAATCTATGATCTCTAGAGATTTACGCCGCAAGCAAAAGATTAGAATGAAGGGAGTGATGACAGGACTCAACAGCTCCTCAAGAATAAACACCTACAGGAACAGAGATCAAAAGACAATCAACATGAATTTCTGTTTCAGAAATGCATGTTATTGATTATATTGTGAAAGGATCACCCATACATGTTTCATATGTAAAAACAAATTGACAAACACTGAAACTGCAGATAGGACTTGGGAATTATATTTATATGGCATATGTCATTATCATCACCAAAATCCTGTCTTGGTTCTGTAAC